TATTAAAATATATAAAAGAATTAAAAGAATAAGGGAGCATATAACATTTTATTGTGTTTTAAATGAGTAAAAATTCTTACTGACAAACTGGCAAATTTAAAAAAAAATTAAAATTACAACTAATTAGTATTTGGGGTGAAAGTAATTAGTCTTTTAATATGTCATAAATTGGTTTTTGTTTTAAATATACCTGACAAGATTGTTACACTGAATTACATTTTAGTGGGTCTCTTCTGTAAATCAGGGAAAAATGTATGATATTTATTTTTTTCTCGGAAAAACAAAAACAAAATTGCAATTAAATTAAACAGAAAACTTTGTAAATTTTTTGGGGAAAAACAACAACAATTTAAAAACAATTTAAAAAATATATTCATATTCAAAATATAAGTATAAAACTGTAAAATTCATGTAAATTCATAAATAATTGCTACTTTTATTCAGCAAGAATGCATTAAAAAAAATCGTTAATGGTATGAAAATGAAATCGGATGTAACGGTATGAAAATTTCTTATCACGATTATAGTGACCAAAATGATCACGGTTATCAGTATTATCACGGTATTGTTAAAATGTGCTGGAAATGTTCAAAAAGTACTGACACACAAATAATTTCACCAAGTTTTACATTTAAAATCAACAAACAACAAATAAAATGAATTTTTGTTTGCGTAACTAAAACAATAACATTGCCAACGATGTCCGGATTTTAAATGACAACATGACTGACAACAGTTTATCTAATAGCATGTTCAAATATCTAATGTAAATGTCAAATATCTAATATAATAAAACTGTGTTTTATGCTTCAGGGCTCCAGACTCATTCTTCCCACTGGTCGCTCTTTTGCGACTTTCTCAGTTGGTCACACCAGCACATAATTTGGTCGCAATATTTTTAGGGATTAATCAATGCATGCTGATGAGCTTTTATCATAGTTTATAGTTATATGAAAACGAAAGTGGTTAACATTCAACCCCTTCTTTTTCATCAGTATTATTTGTGATTTGAATTTTGTGAACAGGGAGTTTCTCTTTAGCTATGTTATAAGCCAGGCTTCGGATGCTTTCACTTTTGAATTCGCGATCTTAGTGTCACGTTTTACAAGAAAAGATAATTGTCTGATTTGCTTACATACATCTATACATATTTCACTTTTTAAGACTAAAACAAAAGATGGATTCATTGTTATTCTTAATTAACCCTTTCGCACGTGAGCGTGGTCGCGCCAGTGCGACCGCACACAAAATTTAGTCGCACGGGCAGAAAAAATTATCGCAAAATGCGCCCATTTGGTTGCACTCTGGAGCCCTGTGCAGTACAGTATTTACTTATCCTCAGTTGATCAAATCGCGGTAATCGAATACGGTTATAGTGATGATTAAAATATGAAACGGCAATACTAACCGTGGGGTATTTTATCACGATTTATCGTCATACCGGTAATCGTTACATCCCTAACTGCTACCAAAAGAAAAAAAAATTGTATCACAAGAGAAGCCAGAAAAAATATATTATGGTTTAAACAAAATTATGAAGCAGCATTAAGAAAGAACTGATAATAAGAAATGTTCCTTGAGCACCAAATCTGAATATGTGAATAATTGCTGGAGGATCATGTGACACTGAAGACTGGAGTAATGACTGCTGAAAACAGAAAACTGTTGTTTTAAATTATAATAATGTTTCACAATATTACTGTGTTTTACTGTATTTTTGATACATGCAGCCTTGGTGACTTTTAAAAACAAAAAAAATTTTTTTATATATTTTTATATTCAAAAATATATAAAACTTCTGTACTGTTTTATCTAAAGAAATTCAAAATAAAACACTAAAAACTACAATAAAGTTTCAAATGCCACAACGCATGTTACTACAAGGTGTAAACAGCAATTGCGTTTCAGCTAGTCACTTGTGATCAGATCACCTGAGACTGATTATAACAGCAGATGTAAACAGGGTTTGTGTGATCTGTGGGTTTCATCACATCATTCAGCAACATGCAGAACAGCACCACAATCTAATGAAGAGCATTTTTTTTTCCAGCAACTGCTTTATGACTAAACAGCTGGAGCCCTAAACAGCAACGAGGAATAAATGTCCTATGCAAGCCCAGCTAAAGGCCCTCAGAGAAACTGCAGATCGAAGAAATCCTGCTGGCAGCAATCCAAAGATGTGGCTGAGGGAACGAGGGGGAAAACATGCAGAAGAGGGATGGAAAGCTGTGGCTGATGTCAGGAGGAGACGGGGGCTTTCGCTAAGTTAATTAACGGACATTAATTGCTCTCATTAAACACTGACTGGTTTCATTGGGTTTCCGAGTGTCTGGACATTTGTGATGCTAAGCCCTGCTATGATGAGAAAGAGGCAGCTCTTTAGCTGAGAGCACTATGGCCTTCCGATAAGGAGGGTAGGGTACACATTACACGACAGACACACACTCAAAGTACTTCTCACACACTTAAGTGGACATAGAGACCGCAAGAGAGGGGTCAAAATCCTTGCACCATGATATTGTGCTATGGTTTATTGGAAAACATATTGATGGTAATACCATGGTAATGACTGGCATATGTTGGAGTACCATGTAAATACAGTAGGTAGAAGAATATACAAAATAGAAAAGGTGGAAAGATGAACAGAAAAAAAGAGATATGGCCAGTGTTCATTTTTTTCGTCAGTTTTTTTTTTAAATGAAAATGTCTTTTAAATGTAGTCAATGTTATCATGTCATATTTATTAATTTTAATCAATTTTACTTTAAATTTCATACATTTCATACATCATACATTTCATACAAACATAATGGTATCTAATACTTCAAACATATGTATATTCATAAATTAATTTTAAATGTACATTAGCATTCAATAGTTTGGGGTCCGTAAGACTTTTTTTTCAATAAATTTTTATTTTGCAGGGACACTACATTAAACAAAACAGACAGTAAAGACATTTATAATGTTACAAAATATAAATAAAATACAAAACATTAAGTAGCACAACTGCTTTCAGCATTAATAATAATAATAAATGTTTCTTGAGCAGCAAATCAGCATATTAGAATGATTTCTAGGATCATGTGACACTGAAGACTGAGCAATGGCTGCTGAAAATTAAGCTTTGCCATCACAGGAATAAATTACATTTTAATATGTATTAAAATAGAAAACAGTTATTTCAAATTGTAATAATCTTTCAGAATATTCCTGTTTTTAATGTAATTTTGAGCAAATAAATGCAGCCTTCATGAGCATAAGAGACATCAAAAACATTTAAAAAAACGTATTAACCCCAAACTTTGGTAGTGCATCAACATTTAAAAGAAATTCTTGCGGTGTTATTTTTTTCCTTGTCTTGTTTTTTTTTCTTTGTTAACAGTATGTTTTAATTTAAAAATTAATCTTGTCTTCATTATCTTTGACAGAAACCCTAAACAACCTTGTTAATGATTATTTTCATTGAGATCAACACTGGACATGTCACTAGAACAAGAGCAAAAAGTAGATGGGTTAGAGAAACAGGAAGTTGATGAACACAGGATGTAATTGCAGAAGCGCTGACAGCAGATCTATATCAAACAGAGGGATCTGTGTTAACCAGGCGAGTCATCAAACAGCGAGACTTTCACACGACCCAATCAAAACATCCAAAGCCGTTCGCTTCAACTCACTGACTCTATGCTCACCTCCAAATCGAACCGGCGGCCCTGAGTGAGAAGGAACATTACAGTCCCATAATGTTTTCGTAATACAGATGAATCCTCTGGGAATGTGACACTTTGAGTGCGGTTCCCGAGGCTAAACATATCCCTCAATGGAAATGCTCGCCCATCTCACCTCAGCTGGGAATGTCCCTCATTAGTATTGAGCAGACATCCGGAATAGGACTCTGCTTATTCGGAGGAAAGTGGGAACATACTTTAAAGAAACAGGTGGAACATTCATCCCAGGAGATGGTGGAAGAGAAATGTAATGTTTAGTATAAAAGGAGGCAAGGCTCTTAATGGAACAGCTGAGCCAAAAACACAAATTTCTGTCATTATTTACACATCCTCATGCTGACATTCTTTCTCTAGCACAGAAAAGCCTGTTTACTCGGTTCCATGCAATTACAACGAATGTAAACTCTTTTCAGGCTTTAATAAGGATGAAAAAGGACCATAAGTATCATGAAAGTGGCTACTACAACTCATGTTCTACGTCTTCTAAAGTAGCTTTGTGTGACAAACAGACCAAATCTATGTCAATGTTCACTTAAAATCTTGACATCAATCTTGACTTTGCTTAAGAGATGTAGAAATGTCCAATTTATATCAATCAAATATTTTCAAGAAAACAAATGATCTGGTTCACAAAACCCCTATTTGTTTATGAATCAATTTGTGACAGTCACTGACTCAGTCCAAATGATTCAGACTCTATTAAATGTAACTGTATGGAAAAGAAGGACAAATATACTCAACAGAAAAAAAGTCATACAGGTTTATATAATGACAGAATTTTCATTTTTGAAGATCAAACACCTTTCTTTAACACCTGTGAACACCACATGCCCTGTGAACACAAACATTTTTTTGTTGTCACAGCACATTGTTTATCATTAATCAGAGCTACTAGTGTTCATTAGCATTAGCATTAAACCCAGTCGAAGTGGGAGGTGTGGCCAGACTTGTTCTTTACCCACACTGGACCACAATTTGTACTTTCGTATGCTGCATGCTCTGCGCAGACTGTAACAAGATGTAATTGAGAAGAATAATGGTTTCGTTCACTTCATGTCATTAACTAGCGAGACCGTGATAGCTAGCTTGTGTCTACAATTGTGTCTAATTTTCTGCTGAGCCCCAGATACCGCTACGGCGGGGAATGATGATAAGCATAGAGATTTTTAATGAGCACAGAGGTCTTCTGCAGACTCAAATGCTCTTCCTGTTTAACCAAGGTTGTGCATCCACAGTCCAGAGGAGCGCTGCGTGAGTGTATGCGGTACCCACCTCTCAATGATGTCAGCGATCACACAGGCAAACATCTGCAGACCCTCGGGCAACTGCAAGGCCACTGCAGGTCAAAGATAGAGAGTCCAGTCAGTGCAGTATAATGCAATATGAATGACAGCTGCTCTGGCCTCCTATATATTAGTCTGGCGATACAGGCAGTCTGATGTGCAAACTATAACCTAGGGATGTACCCAGGGCCTTCATTAAGACTGCACTGGGCCCTGGGGCTATGACTTACTGCAGGGACCCCCATCACAATAGTGATATATATATATAAAGCTTTAAATAGGATTTTTATCCCATATCAACATTCTTGATGCACTGAAATTTCATAATTTTTGTTACCAATTTCAATAATCACAAAAATAATACGAGCCTAAGTAAAAATAAGCTTACTGAAGACAAGTAAACAGTCACAAATTAGGCTACAACAGAACAAAGATCATAAGAGATCGACCTACTTGAAAAACTTAAAGCACTGAATAATATTATGATGTATAAAGAAAATGTACAAATAGACTGAATGGTCTCCACTGTATATATTCAATATACATGATTCATTCTTATTTATTTTACAAAAGTGATTTTCTTTCTGATGTTTGATTTATATTATTGACACAAATGGCAACAGCAGCTATATTAGGCTGCTTTAGAGGAATAGTTCACCCAAAAATGAAAATTTGGTTGTTGTTCTAAACCTGTATGAGTTTCCTTCTGCTGTTGAATGCAAAATAATAGATTTGGAACAATACTGGTAATCAGACAGTTGCTGGGCCCCCGTGACTTCCATAGTATGAAAAAATACACTATTGGAGTCAGTGGGGACCAGAAACTGGTTGCGATAATTTTTCTAAATATCTTCTTTTATGTTGAGGAGAACAAAGAAATTCATAGAGGTTTAGCACAATTTGAGTTTAAGTACATGATGTACAGTATCTTCATTTTTGGGTGAACTATCCTTTTAAGATCTCATCATATAATCCAGGATCTCATGTAGCCTAACACTACACATGCTTTATCTTTAACTATTAACATTCATTTAAGACCCAAATAACTGTGTTTACAAGGATACTCGCAAAGATGAGAATTTTTGACACATAACTGTGTATTTGAACATTTAAGCACAAGGAGTGAAAAGTTTAGTCAGTCGCAATACGAGCAGGTGTGCGCCGCGCGAATCAGGCTGAAACCGTCTTAATGAACGTATTTACCAGAATTAATTCTGCCCCACTGCTTAACGTTCATTAATAGTTTAAACCATTTGTTTTAAAACCTGCTTTAAACGCGTTTAAATGATAAGCTTAGCCTACATCTTGACACGCAAAACGATTGATACATTTCTACCGGATTATCTCCCAATCCTTAGAGTTTGTTTGTTGTAGAGAGTTTGTTCAAACACAAAAACAATATACATCCAGTTAATAATCAAAATAACCTAAAATCTGTGTAGATGATGACGCTGTTTTTTTTCCATGTGCCCGGTTCACTTGCTGTTCCAACAACTTCCACTGCATCATCAGCTTTAGTAAAATAACCTGATAGCTGGGGATTTTACTGACTAACTTATGTTTTTTTTTCTTCTGTTGTTTGTATTTGAAGTTTTTCATTTTTTGAGCCCCTCTCTCTCAGAATTGCTGACATTTTTACTTATTGAATATTGTTCTTTGCGCGACCATTTCCAAATTACTCCAGAACTGTGTAAGTGAAGAGTGGAGGTGAATGCAGACATACTGGGCAGCGATCACCTGATAGATACATGCACATATCATTCAAATGTCAAATATAGAATTAAATGCATTTGATTGGTAAACCAAATTCAGACTTTACACTTCAATCTCAAATGGTAATGCATGGAATTTACGGAAAGGCTCAACTAAATAACAGCGCTAATAAGTGGGGGGCGTGGTGGCTTTGGCGACCGGCACGCCAGTCAATTTACCCCACAGCCAATCACTGGCCCCCTCCTTGCTCGGGCCCCGGGGCTTCAGCCCCGCCTAGCCCAATGTTTAATACAGCCCTGGATGTACCAATATGAAAGCTTTGGCAAATATCTAAAAAACAAACAAACAAAAACATAGAAGTCCAGATCTCTAGGTGCAAAATGAGAAAACTGCTTTTAAATCCTTCATGCCACAAACATTTAACAATTGTAGGCATACTATGAATAAAAAAAAAAGTTATATCAATTTTCTTTTATAGAAGTTAAAATAATAATAATAATAAAAACATTTTACAAACATATTCACATGGTACTCAGAATATAACAAACAAACAAAATGCCTGTGTGGAATAAATAAACGAATACAAAATGTTATTAAATAAATAAATAAAACATTTAATTAATTAATAATAAATACATAAAGTTACATTAACTAAATGTAACTAAATAACACGAGGGGTCCCAGAAGCAATTGATTTGATTTATTGGCTTAAAAATTCCAGCCTATTTTATTTATTGGAGTGATATGAGAACATAAGTCACATTTCTACCAATATGTCCATCAATATATCATGCATCCCTAATACAAACTGCATTGTGTCAAATTTTCTTTCTTTTTCATTCGTTTCATCTTTAAATTTAATAAGGAAGTGCTGTTTGTGTGTCTGTGAACTTGTATTAAAGTCTGACAGATGTTTTCCTTTAAATAATAGGCAAGTTCGTTTGCTCATCAAATGAGTATGAGGCTTTAATTAGGGATGCACCGATATGAAAATTTTGGCCGATACCGATAACAGCGCGCATCTGAAGTGTCTCTGAAGGAAATAATGCATTATTTATCGGCTTTAAGATATCGGACAAATTTTCTTATCGGGCCGATACCGATAACAGAAAAAATGAGCATTTATCGGCCGATACCGATATGGTGGCCGATATATCGTGCATCCCTAGCTTTAATGAATTAAAATAACTGTCAAGATAAATACGCACAACCGTACCTTCTGTTAAGCATAAATAATGGTTTAACGTGTACTGAGCTACATTACTGAAACAACTGAGCACTAATTATTTAAGGAGCCCACAGCACAAAACTTTAGACAGGGTTGCCAACTCACACATTTGGTGTGAGACATGCTATTGGCCTCTGTCTCGCATTTCTACAAAAGTCATGTCTCATTATGAGACACCAGTTACATTAATGAAATGCAGCCAAAAAAACTGTATTGAAAAATGTATTGGTTCAAAGACAGAGCACTGGCTATTTCTATCTGCCGCATTGCTGAGGTTGAACACAAACACTAAAATTTCCATTGTCTCTTCCATATTGATATTCTGCAATATTGCAGCCGTAGAACATAAGGAAATTCTGGAACATCTGCATTGTTACTGTGTCGTTCTCTACACCGAATATTGTTCTTTATTTAATTTGCATTTTAATTAATTACTTTTCCATCCACTGCTAGCTTTACAATCACAAATGTTAAGAAATGAAGAAAAACAAGAGTTAACCTTATCTGATTTTAAGCTGTAAACAAGGAGGTAACATATGTAACAAATAATATAATATAATATAATATAATATAATATAATATAATATAATATAATATAATATAATATAATATAAGACGCCATTAGTATGCCATTCCTCTGTGCCACATGATCCTTCAGAAATAATTTTAATATGTTGATTTACTGCCAAATAACATTTCTTATTATTATCAATGTTGTGCCACTTTTTTTTTTTTTTTTTAGGAAACCATGATACATTTTTTTCGGGATTATTTGATGGATAGACTGTTCAAAGAGCATTTATTTGAAATAGAAATTTTTAGTAACATTATAAAAGGATTTACTGGTACTAACTGTATTAATTAAATGTCCTTGCTGAATAAAAGTAATACATTCTTTTTAAAAAATGTTATTGACCAGAAAACTAACAATATGATATGATATGATATGATATATGATATGATATGATATAAAATATGATATGATATATGATATGATATATGATAATTCTGTGCATGTTCTGAGATACTCAGGTAAATTTATATGCACACATTTATATGCACACAAGATTTATTGCATATAAATCAACCTAAGCAGCTGGCAAAGTTGGCATGAAGCATAAATGCAAAGTTGGCACAGTTTCAGACAAGCTAACCATTTAAACAGTTGCAATAACTTGCTTGTCACACTAAATTTACACCATACCTAAAAACAGCGACAAAGATACACTTTCTATTTCTCGAGAGAGCTCAAAAACACAGTGCAAAACAAAAAGCCATCTCTCAGGGTGGAAATACATGTGCAGTTAAATGCTGTGAAGGAGGAGTGCATTAAATCAGTGTGAAATGAATGTGCATAAGACAACAGAGAGATTATAATAGGTACATGGACGATATGAAAGCGTGGTTTACCATGGATGTTGGATCCATTACAATGTCTTAATCCAAGAAAAATCAATACATTATCCCCTATTGAGGCCAGTGACCTTTCGACACAGCCATACAAACCATATCTTCACTGTTAAATTCAATTAAATGATAATAAGTGACTACATATTACTAAAACATGCAAAGCAGTTAACTTCAACGTATTAACAGTAATGGAAACACAGGCTGACATGATACTCCATATGCTCATTTCTAGAGATTTTTATCTTATCTTGCATAAAATATCTTTTCTAAATTAACTGGACACTTCATGTTGAAAAATAGCTGAAAGAGCTGCTAAAAAGACATCAGCCTATTCTAATTTAAATAATAACATATTGGGCAGACAGTTTGTATATTATATAGGATAATTTCACTTTAGTGGTACGATGATAAGATATTATTTTCCATGAATATAATAATAACCCATTAGCTGATACTGCACCAGTCTAATGAGATCATAATTTTTGCGCTGTGCTTATTTTTAAATAATTCAAACTCTTTAAATTATGTGGTTGATGAACTTAACATTAGACATGTCTAAAGAATGTTTTTTTCTTTTTTTGGCCCTTATTGTACGCCAGCATCATGCTTAGATATGCTGCACTGTTGTCTTGGAAACAGACTCATGACCTAAAATTGGATCGGTTACATGTACTATACAGCCTAACAAGTGAACAATGAAAA